GTAACTGGAGTTATCCCACCCAGCCCCTGCACTAACTCTGTAACTGGAGTTATCCCACCCAGCCCCTGCACTAACTCTGTAACTGGAGTTATCCCACCCAGCCCCTGCACTAACTCTGTAACTGGAGTTATCCCACCCAGCCCCTGCACTAACTCTGTAAGTGGAGTTATCCCACCCAGCCCCTGCACTAACTCTGTAACTGGAGTTATCCCACCCAGCCCCTGCACTAACTCTGTAACTGGAGTTATCCTACCCAGCCCCTGCACTAACTCTGTAAGTGGAGTTATCCCACCCAGCCCCTGCACTTTCTGCCCAAGAAAGTTCTGTGCCAGAATTGGCCACCTGGGCAACCACAGACTGATTCAGTACCAATCAGATGTTTCAAATGGCAAAGATTGATTTTTGACAGACACTCTGAACCCAATCCCCAGCTCACATAATGTTTTTAGAAAAGAAATTTCGGATGTGCTTTTCTAATACTAATACAGGTCAGCTCTTTCAATTTAACCGAGGAAACACTACACACGTTGACACAAACATTCACTCTTCAAATTAATCAATTTTATTTATTACAATTTTAATCAGATATATTCAAGTACATTAAAATTTGAATACAAAACAATTGACCTATGGGGTATAAGCATGAACGAAAAAAAAATGTTTTCAGAGGGCAAAGACAAAAACGGGTTGGTTCATATCATATCCGCTTTCATATCTTTGTGGTTGTCAAGGGTTGGCTAAGTAACCAGGGACAGGATAACGATACAGTGAATTAAAAAGGAAGGAATTATTCAGATTTTTAAAAAAATATATTGTTGGGTCTGTTTTTTATAAGCCCAACCCACATTACCTCAATTGAGTCGTGATTTTTTTTTAACCAATCAAAATTGAGAAATGTAGGTAGCATCCAAGGGCAAGCTACTCTGTTTTACATAAAATGTTGACTTACTCTTTGCTTCATCTTCAGGTAAACATTGCATGATAATATTTTATTTGACATTTTGCAACACAAAAGTAAAAAAAAATCAATGTGAATGGTATTAAGTCTCAATAGTTATAACTGTGATATATTTCACCAAAATTTAGTCAGGGGGTGGGATGAGTGGTTGGGGGGGGGGGTGCTGGACTCCCTTAAAGTTGGGGAAGGGGGGGATGATCGAGAAAACGTTGGATACTGTAACATATTAATCAATGTTTCATAAAAAGTTTTTATCAATGTGAATGGTATTAAGTCTCAATAGTTATAACTGTGATATATTTCACCAAAATTTAGTCAGGGGGTGGGATGAGTGGTTGGGGGGGGGGTGCTGGACTCCCTTAAAGTTGGGGAAGGGGGGGATGATCTAGAAAACGTTGGATACTGTAACATATTAATCAATGTTTCATAAAAAGTTTTTCACCAATATTTTTCTCAATAAAAGACCAACACTATCAAACAATTACCTCAGCATTGTTCTTTTGTAACTAAATAATTTGAATTATTGGAAAACTTAAGGCATAATGACATTGTCATAACAAACTAATTGCATTAACTAGAAATATAAATAAATCTATTGTAAACATGTATGACTTTACACTATCAACTGCCTACATTTCCAGAATACTGCACAAAATAATTAAAATTTTAGTATAGATTTATTTAAAATTTTCTTAAATTACCCAATCGATTTTAGAATCACAAATATTATTAGAACCAGAAGAATTGAAAATGTAGAGATACATCAGCCAACATGGGTCATTCATTTTAATCAGGATTAACTTTATGGTTGCCTGGCTACCCAATGGCACTTGAAACCCAGTGTTTAAAGAACTATAACAGCAACATGTTTAAAGAACCGTAACAACAATCGTCTCAGGTCTGTCATGCTTAGAAATGTGGACAGCAGTACCTGAAACGGCTTGTTGCTGGCTCAGATTAAACATTTCGATTCTTAATCTAACTGATGGATAGCTTCAATCTACTCTGACCTCCATTTGTTGCTTTCAAATGGTACTTTCTGTACATAACCAACATTTTGTACATATTGGGGGAGGGAGGGGAGGGGGCGTGTTCTACATACAAAGTTAATACTTCAGGAATTTGGGAGGGTTGTTGTATCATTCACTTCATTCATTAAACTGCAAGGAAGATAAAAAGCTGATTGTTTTCACATTATTGCAAGTAACCCCCCAAAAACCCAGGCTTAAAAAAATATCAAAACTAATAAATAAAATGGAATAACTTGATATTTTACTACAATTTGACATAACTTAATGAAGTATGAAGTCTTGCATATGTATGTACAACTTTTCAATATGTTGGAAGGGCAATACTGTTTTTTTAACATATAAATAAGGTGTTAGATTAACAATCTGTTTAAAAAAATTGTGCTGATGAGTACATCTCTGTTGCTAAGGCTACATATGTAATACTAACACAACTGTTTGAGTACTTCGTGCTTGAAGTCACTCATCATAATTTCAAAGGACAAAAATCAAATTTCTTGTAGCTAGTTTGCTCTGGTCCTTCCAGAAACAATATTTCTATATTAGCAACTTGCCCTGGTATTTCAACGTCTGTGCTCTGATTCCATTTGGTAGGCCCTACATGCCACTGAACACATTCTTCTAACCTCTAGACTCTTTCCCCTCGGCAGAATTAACTGAGCACACATGCCACTGGACACATAGTCTGACACAAATATTCTTAGGCAGCAGTGTTTTTTTTAAATCTTAATACAATTTTATATAATTACATAAAGTCTGAAACTTCCTTTCAATGTGCCTCAAATAATATTGGGAATTTGTCTGAGCTGGAGATTTCTCTAGACTCTTGTGACATATCTTAACAGCCACAGTCTAATTTTAATATTGGACACATTTCTGCAACTTTGGATATGCTCTGGCAGGACAAAATCCAACACAGTGGGTCTCATACAAGTAGTCTTTACACACCTGGCCATGGAAATTAAAAAAAAACTAGTTATTTTACATATAAAATTTGTTTACAGGTATCAAAACTTGGATATCTTATTGACTTTAAAAAAAGATTTTCCTTGTTGAAAAAAAATAAGTGTTCTGGGTATTTAACTTGCTGTAATTTCATTAATATTATTGAGTCTTTCAATGTATAGTTATAAAGCATTAATAAGTGCCCCTGTTTTGATGATCTTAATGTTTAACTTGTGCATTCAACTGATTGCGGGGACTGTTATGAATTATGATTAAATAAGGAGGCGTGTAAAATGGATGAAACCAGTGATCTATGAAACATTCACACAGAAATGTCTTTGATGAACTTAAGGACAGTAGCTCTTAAAATAAAATGGTCAGATGATCTTGTTTACACTAAGAATAAATTTGGGGAATTCTCAATTCTATTAACTCTCTTAAGTTTAGAGCCCTTGCAGCCAGTCATTTTAAGTTAGTATCAAATTTCAAAGTACCCTGCCCTGATAATAGCCTCCTTAACCCCAGTTGTTGAGTTATTAAACCAGCCTTTAGTATAAACAAGACATTTCGTTCAGATACTCACAAAACACTGCTCATCTTCAGGACCGTCACACCCTACAGCACATGAAGAGTGACAACACTCATCACTTCCTGGGCCGAAACATCGACCATCACAAGTTTCATGGCACGTGGTCGATTTTATCACTATAAATAAAAGAAATAAATATCTCATTAGTTTTAGAATCTCAAAAACTATTGCAGATGCACAACACAAATAGTAAATAACAAAATAAAAAACAGACCTTAAAACTTGTCATACTTCTAAAAGTGATATGATCAAATGGGGTCATCATTCCCAAAAAGCATCAAAGAGAATTTTAGTATTCTGGCAGCAGTCATACTAACTAATAAAACATAATAAGCAGATTGTTTCAAACAGTGCAAGAAATCAACATTAATCAAACAACGTATCACTACATACAATGGTAGAAACCAACGAGCATAAGAATAAATACCAATAGACACTTATCTATACTTTTGTTTGTCAGTTGTATCTGTGCTGAGTATACACACAACAATCCCCTTACCTTGCTGACACAGAGTTCTGTCATCTCCCCAACGAGTTCCTCCATCACAAATCGATGTGTCATTGTTGTGGGCCACTATTAACAAAAATATTTACAAAATTATTACGGGTATAACAACTTATTTCAATGCCAATTTATTATTCTTAGAACCATAAAATGCAACATTTAATGTTGTGCTTATTTTAATTAATTTAAGTTTAAAAGGCCTAAATTTTTTTAGCTTTCATTTTTATTTTTATAAGTAGAATAAAAAAGATTTTATTGATATGTTTTATGTACCTTTCTAGTAGATAGATAGATGCATTAAATAAACAAAAATAATTGCATTTATAATTAGATAAATTTCCTGTGGGTTTAAAAAATAATATTTCTCATAACACAAAAGTCTGTAACTGGATGCACCCTTCTTAAAAATTTTATCTTTTCCATTTTTTTGTTTGGCACTTAATGATAGTTTCTTCAGCTGAGATAGAAATGGATACCTAGTTTCTTTAGCTGTGATAGAGATGGAGACCCTCAATCAAAGCCAGGTGATTTTTAATGCCAAATCATGATGCATTGGCTGGTGTGAATATTCATTTGTTTTTGTTCTGTTGTTATATAGCTGTTTTTTAATTAAATAAATGTATGTTATTTTTTAATGTCATGATTATGTTTGCTAATATTTTTGTATACACCCCGGTGAGCCCAGCCCTAGGCTGGGGTACCGCGCTATATAATACCACTAATACTAATAATCATCTTCAGATTTCACTAGTGTAGGTTACTAGTCCTTTTTGAATCCTTTACAGCCTGGGGAATTTATGAGTTATTCTGATGACTTGGAAATTATAAAATTAACCAATAACCTGAATCATTGTAAGCATGTTCCTGGAAATGTACAGCATCCCAGCGACCACGCACTATAGGCTCCCAGTCCACAGTGTTGATGTATCCGAGAGATGGGTTACCAGTGAAAAGCACTTTTCCAGCAGAAAGTTCTGAGAAATAAAAAAAAAATAAATCATCAAGTGTAAGTAACACATTTTGATATAAGATAAGATTCTTTTTTGATCAAAATAAAAGGTAATGTTTCTTGATTACATTGTAAATATTCATTTTCAGGACATAAATAAATATATATTCAAACCAAGACAACATTTTACAATTATAACAATTTAAACACAAGAAAGTATTTCTCTAGCATATCAACCAATCATAAATGAACTCCATTAGTGACAATAATGACTTAGTGACTTAGTGATCTTTTAGATTCAGTCACCAGTGTGGGAGCGCATCGGTAAATAAATTCATGCATGGTTCTCCATTGGTTGTCATGTGTAGCACCCTGAGCATTACCTTTAAGCTGCGGCAGATGAATTTCTTTAAGTCCAGTGATGTGTTTGACTCCTGAGCTGTCCTCCTCACTCCTCGATGTCAGCACCACCACCAGGCTGTAGTCATCCCCTTTGAGTGAAGCACACCAGTCAATAGTTAAAGACATGATGAATGGGCCATAGAAAGATCAGTCAACATTGAATGAACAACCACATGATGAATGGGCCATAGAATAATCAGTTAACATTGAATGCACAACTACATGATAAATGTGGCATAGGACAGGCTTAAAATGTAAACTTCATTCAGCTTCAAATTGGAAAAGCAAATAACATGGAATTCTGTAGAGACTGCAGCTTAATTTAGTCAGAAGATTTGCTGTAAGGGCCTTAATCTTTAAAGCCAGTCCTTTACATTTCGAGACTAATAATTTAAAATATGTCTAAAGTCTAAAGAAAAATGTCTGTTGATATAAAATTGTGATATTTATTTGTGAAAAGGAATACAATTTGTCAATACTTTCAGCTTTTTAAAACTCTGATGGAACTGTGGTCATGGATTATAGTATAATATATTATAGTGTTAAAGATTTTCTTCGAGTCCATGAACTAAAACTGAATAAGTTCTATGCAAAATGAAATAACAGTTCTTCTACCAACCCATAATACTGTAGGTGTTATTTCCCCTGATGACCTCCAGACTGTTGAGTGGGATACGTTCAACTTCAGTGATGAGGCCAATCAGAACATAACCGCTGACATAACGTATAGTCTGAGAGTACAACAAATTATAATACTGCAGCTTTGAGGCTGTTTGTGTTGTTACTGGATGAAAAATTATAGCTCAACTGCTTGCTATTATCTAGAAACCATTTCATGAGCATGAACAATTTAGAGGATAAATAATGGGCATATATTAGTGTTTTAAGATTTGAAAACATTTAATGCATACATTATTTTAGAGGAAATGTAATAGTTTAAAGGTTATATGAGAATAAAACTCATATAAAAGTAGCATTTTTAAAGTTTTCCCTACTAGGCTGATGGCTGTTGGTTTAATTTTCGTATAAATTAATTAATTAATAGGACATAATGCCACATTACTCCGCTTCACCCCCCCCCCCATCTCAGGTATTAAGCTATTGTTAGATGTGACATGATTTCAAGTAATTCTAGGGATATATCATGGCATTCATAGTGATGAAAATAAAATATAAAAAATTAATCCCACATATAAGATCTAATGCCGTCCAAGAATGTTATAGCAATTATTTTTAGATTCTAAGGTAAAATATAAATATAATGAGTAAAGTGTTTTCAGTAATCAACAATTACCTACAGATACCTGTGATAAGTGATAATATATGATCAAAGCAATGTGTGGAAATAAGGGCAAATATATATTTGTTTAAATCAGGAAAAAAACACTCACCTTTAAAAAACTGAGGTCATAGTTGAGTTTAGGATCTACAAGATTAGTGACCTCCAGGTTGCCATGTATGTACGTACACCCAGCGTAGCGTTTCCTCAAGTGTTGATAGTGAAACTCCAAAGTGCCAGAGTATCCAAAGCCAACTGTAGTGCCATAACATTCTAATTTTGGAACAATCAAAATATAAATACAAACCTTTGTACCTAAGTACATATGGAGTAGACTGTTCATCCAGCACTGGTGATAATGTGACTTTATGTACCACTATACTATCAGTGGTGGATATGATAGTTGTTACTACTATTAGCAGGGATTTCTGACATGGGATAAGAGGTAAATAAGTAATGGGTGGGTTAAGTGTTTAGGTGCTCTGCAAGTCTTCATACTTCATGTAAATTATGTCTAATTGTAGTAAAATGTCAACATATATATAGGTTTAGATTTTTAGAAGAAAAGTGAAGATTTTAATAATTATTATCAACTATTAAACCTTGTTGCCATGTTGATCATGCTGATGCAATCATTCATTAATAAATGTATCAAAACTGTAATCCCCTTGCCTTTTAAAATCTTATAGGCTACTTATGATTCATTTTTGCATTTATTTGACAGTGTTGTAATTTAATATTCAGTATGAGTATGTTATTATTTGTTAGTAGGCTGTTTGAGCCAAGGACTTCTCAACAAGTAACCAGTTAGAATCAACTCAAACAAAAAGGGAGTCATGCAGACTTGTTTATTTCAGACATTAAGATCATCACATTACATAATTTTTAAGCCTGGATGTGGAAGGGTTAAAGGTGACAGGACATGACATTATTTCTTTAACTTTAAGTAGGCTATTTAAGCTAGTCGATCGAAAAATGTACATGTCAATAATATAATTAGTTTAGCCATAGTGGGCTTATATAATGCCGAAATTATTAGTTCTGGATTCAGGAATCTTAAACTTAAATAAACACGCAAATGAAGTCATGGCACCAATGCCAATTGTATGAATTTAGTAAAATGTCTGCCTGTTCAAGCCTTGGCTTATTATTTTGAATCTCACATTTGACAACACTTTCAGAAATAAACTTAGAAATCAATGTAGGCCTAACGTTATAATATTTATATTAAATAAGAGCTCAAAACTTATCAAACTTAATAATAATAATAATGATGGACGAATATATTAAAATTAAATAAGCAACAACAACAATGGTAACCCGCAACAAGAACCATAATTGCCAATAAATGAAATTCCGAAATACAAACCTCTTTCCTCTTGTTCATCAATTCTCAAATTTATCGAAGAAACACACGCGAACAGGACGGCTAGTGTGGAAAATAGAAATAACGAAACGGCAGACATTTTGAGTTCTTAAAACTCTCAAAGAAAACTTGCGGGACAGTGGAACCTGTGTTTCTAAAAATAGACGTGAACTCTGAGTTGGATGGTGAGCAGTCTGTGTGCAGATTAGAAAGAGGAGGCCCTCTACCTGTACAGAAAGTACCCAGTACAAGGCAAGGTTTGTGGATCTCAAACTTTTGAGCAGGATAATTTGGGACATAGAGTTAGAGTGGTTGAAATAGTTTTTGCCAACAAAGTAAATTAGACAAAAGTCTAAACCAGTCGGAAAATTGCGGCTCGCGAGCCGCATGCGGCTCTTTAGCCTTAGCGACCTGAGTGCGGCTCGGCCAGTCAGCCACAAATCAGTTTTGACTTCGAAAAAACATGGCTCTTGACATGTTCTTGAAATGAAATGTTGCCCTCAAAATTTTTTAAATTGTCTTGCCCTTGCTGCTAATTTTTGGCTCTTTTGATTTGACTAATGAGTTTGCCAACCAGTGGTTTAAACTTATTACAATGGTCCGACAGGCTCGATTTCCAGGAAAGGGGCCGTCCATAAAGTACTTTATGCTATTTTTTTTTACAATTTTAACCCCTCCCCCTCTCCCCCGTCACAAACTGTCATAAATCTCGGAACCCCCCCCCCACCCCTAAAGTACGTCACACCTTCGAAATAAAAAAAAATAAAAATATTTTTTTTTACAATTTTAACCCCTCCCCCTCTCCCCCGTCACAAACTGTCATAAATCTCGGAACCCCCCCCCCCACCCCTAAAGTACGTCACACCTTCGAAATAAAAAAAAATAAAAATAAGACCTAATTAAAATTTAATCTAAACACACTTCACTATTAAACTGTATTAAAATATAAAATTTCCACTTAAAAGATCTATCACATTATTAAAATCACTTTAATAGTAGAATAGTTAGTAGCGCTCCTAGCGAGAGGAATCTTGAACAACACATTCAGGAGATACGCATTTCATGCTATTTTGACATAAAACTAATTAAAATATTTCACAAAATTTTGGAAAATTATTTTTAAGGCTATTGAATTTCTACTAAAAAAATAAAAAAATAAATTAGGAATAAAATTTTAAAAAATAAATGTGTGACACATGGCCTGACCCCCCTCCCCCCTGTGTCACTTTCTTACACCCCCCCCCCCTTTTTTTTTGGAGCGTGACGTACTTTATGGACGGACCCAAATTGCTTAATTTTGAATAACTGGAATCCCCAGCAATGCGACAGCAATGCGTGAACTTCCCATCTACTAAAGTTACTTTAAAAAAACATGAACTCAAAGTATCGCACATTTATGAATTCCAATTTTTGCTACCCCCCCCCCTCCATGATATGTCACTGCACACTTTTTTTTTCACCCCCATGCCCTATATTAAATATTCTGATGTCCCGAACACTTTAAAATTAAAAAACATGAACCCAAAGTATCGCACATTTATGAATTCCAATTTTTGCTCTCCCCCCCCCCCTCCATGATATGTCACTGCACACTTTTTTTTTCACGCCCATGTACTATATTGAATATTCTGATGTCCCGAACACTTTTAAATTGAATATATATTTTTTTACACCATACTTAAATTGAGACGATTTCATTTATCGAACAATATTACGTACTAAACGAAGTTGCGTTATTACTAGCGTAGTTATTGGGAATTACATTTTGCGCGCTAGAGAACTCATTATCTATATATAGCCTGCGTGGTGGTGGTGGTGTTTGACCTTTGCTGGCGAATTATATATATAGATTTTGTTTACCATAAGTACACACTTTAGTCTTTAGTAGACTACAAAAAAAAAGTAGCCTATGCTAAAAGCATAATCTATTTTAATTATAATCTAGGATAATTTCGTAAAGTTCAAAAAAAGAAATTTTGAAATATATTATTTAATATAATTTTAAAAAATAATAAAAATAAAAAGATTGGCTAGCCTACATAAAACATAGCATTGGTCTCTACCCGCCCCACAAACACAATTTAACAAAATGATACCCCCCCCACCCCAAACTTTTTTTTTTCTCTTCGCGACGTATATATGCACTTCTTGGAATTTTATTTAGCGCGCCTATTGAACACAGCGTTTTTGCCATGATTTTCACCCTGATAATTATTTGTTATAGTCTTCATTAGCGTGTCCTTTCCATACAGTATACAGTATCCATGTTATTTTCCTAATCTTAGATGACGATGGACTAACCAACCTCAAATAGTCTCCCGTCAGCGAAACACTAGAAAAAAAATGTACTGCCAAATTGCTTAGCAAGTTCCAGGTCAGTGGCCTAGGAAGGGGATTTGGAAGTGTGTTCCCTCCCCTGGTGGCAGTCTCTTTCTCTATATGGAGGGGCTGCATTTTTGGGAAAACTGCAGTTTTTTTGTTTTTTTTTCGTGGAAAAAAAAGGGGGGGGATGCTCGGTCCGCCCCGGGTGGCACTAACCCTAGCTACGCCACTGATTTAGGTCGATATGTAAATTAATTTACAGATCGGGTGTGGGGTGGGTAGGGGAGTCATTGAGAAGAGGATTTTAAAAAAATCCTGAATTTATTTGACATCTGTTAAGGACATCCTGTTGAACTGAAAACTGTTGATCTGGCAATTCAAGAATTGTGTAACTATAATACATGCATCTTTGACCAGTTTAAGGTCCTAAGTCTAATAATACACTTACAATATCTTTGACCAGTTTAAGGTTCTTAGTCTAATAATACACGTACAATATCTTTGACCAGTTTAAGGTCTTTAGTCTAATGATACACGTACGATATCTTTGACCAGTTTAAGGTCTTTAGTCTAATGATACACGTACGATATCTTTGACCAGTTTAAGGTCTTTAGTCTAATGATACACGTAAGATATCTTTGACCAGTTTAAGGTCCTAAGTCTAATAATACACGTACAATATCTTTGACCAGTTTAAGGTCTTTAGTCTAATGATACACGTACGATATCTTTGACCAGTTTAAGGTCCTAAGTCTAATAATACACGTACAATATCTTTGACCAGTTTAAGGTCTTTAGTCTAATGATACACGTAAGATATCTTTGACCAGTTTAAGGTCCTAAGTCTAATAATACACGTACGATATCTTTGACCAGTTAAAGGTCCTAAGTCTACTAATACATTTATCTTTGACCAGGGCACTTCCAGGAAAAAATGTTTCTTAACAGTAAACAGAACATCGCAAGTTTGCGTCCAATCTATGGTATGGCACTTGAAAGTTAATGTGTCCAGTCTATGGCATTTGAAATTAAATGTGTCCAGTCTATGTCATTTGAAAGTAAATGTGTCCAGTCAATGGCATGTCCTTTCAAAGTAAATGTGTCCAGTCTATGGGATTCGACAGTTAATGTGTGTCTATGGCATTTGAAAGTAAATGTGTCCAGTCTGTGGCATGTCATTTGAAAGTAAATGTGTCCAATCTGTCATTGGGAAGTAAATGTGTCCAGTCTATGGCATGTCATTTGGAAGTAAAAGTGTCCAGTCTGTCATGTGGAAGTGAAAGTGTCCAGTTTATGGCATGTCATTTGAAAGTAAATGTGTCCAGTCTATTTCATTTGAAAGTAAATGTGTCCAGTCTATTGCATGTCATTTTAAAATAAATATGTCCGGTCCATGTCATTTGAAAGTAAATGTGTCCAGTTTATGGCATGTCATTTGAAAGTAAATGTGTCCAGTCTGTGGCATGTCATTTGAAAGTAAATGTGTCCAGTCTATGTCATTTGGAAGTTAATGTGCCATCTATGTCATTTGAAAGTAAAAGTGTCCAGTCTATGGCATGCCATTTGTCCAGTCTAAGAAAAGGCACGGAGAAATCATCTCTTTCCATCATTTCTCACTTGTCAATACTGAAACTAAGGAATCAATCAAGACAACTATGTGATGGAAAAACAACAATGTATTTACTAGTCACAGTCACAGCCATTCAAGTGAAAGGAACTTAAAAGAAAACATAAAACTGATTGTAATTGAACACATTGTTATCAACACAGAACACGGCTCATGATTTCTTTCAACACAATTATAACTATCTAGGCTAAACAACATGACTTACTACTATCATTTTGTGTACAATTTTTTTGTATCACTCATATCAACAAAGACTTATCTCCTTCTTCACACATTACTTCCCTTTCCATGCAGTTACAATTTCAGTATTCCAAAAGATCCCCCCTCTTTTTTTTTTTTAAATTCAGGTAAAAACACAAAAATAAAGGAACGGAGTAAGGCATTCAAAATATACAAAAAAAGTTTGTACATATTTCTTAACCAATTGTTCAGTTTTTCAAATTTAAAATATGCTCAAAACCCTCATGTGTAAATTTGACAAGTTTTTTTTTTTTATGACATAAAAGCATATTTTGTGATCAACTGAAACTTTGACTAAGCCTTGTCAATTTTGCCCCTCTTGAAATTTTCCTAAAGCAAATTTATCACAATATAAAAATTTAAATGTTCACTTTCACTTTAAAAAAGAAAGATATTAACAATACATATATACACATAATATAATGATAAAGAGGATTCTTTAGTGAAAATTGACACAAAGATAAGGTGATAGGAAACATTTAAAAAAAAAAGTAATTAAAAAAATTTGAAATGTCTAGAGCATTTACTAGTGGATAAAATATTTACAAAAAACAATTCCAAAAGTCTAAGACATCCCAGCTGGAACAATGAGTTGAAGAGGGCTTCACTGCATTCTTTGTAAAGAATATTCCTCTGTGCTACAGTACTTATAACTATAACTACACATTTCTCTGTGCTTTTTTTTTCATACCATGCATGTTCACACAAGCTTTTTTCAACTGGTCTTAAGGGACATTAGATGTGATTTTGGGACCCATTTGGTAGAAGACTGACAGTTATTAAACCTAGCCACAAGCTTTGAGATTATGATGTATATATAGTTATTCTCTTTGAATTTGAAGTTATGAAGATGCGTCCTTTTGAAAATTGATCAAATGGTTGAGAAATGATTTTTTTTTTCAATTTGCAATATTTATACTAGAAATAACCCGCCAAATATTGGCCATCTATTAAGGTTCCTTGACAAAATATGCATTCAAGTAACGCACTTTATAAGA